GATCAAGGCCATTTCGCGTTATGTGGCGTGAGTAGATATACTTTTCATTTAATTAATTTCTTGAAATTCAACAAGTGTGTAACATAATGTACCAGATAAGAGCGCTAGCGCTATGAAATGCCGACATCTATACACAAATTGCATTCAGTTATGTCTTCATGGTTAGCAACGTGTTTTAGTAAATTTGTCCGTACGTATATAATAGAGTATAAAATGCTGGTTGTGATGCATTCTGCATGTTCCCCTACGATAGTCAGTGACTACCAACAATCACAACCAAATTGTTCGGCTATTGGTCTTTTGGAATCTATTTAATCTTTTGTCCATACTAGCGCAGTTCATGCACTGGTTTATGTGTACTTGACATACACGTGCATTAAAGTGACAGTCGCCACACACGGCGCGTTGGAATTTTGTGTAAACAAATAATGTATTTTACTTGGGTTGTATACGGCGCATTGAGTCTATATGGAACACCACGTAGCACCTCAGTCCCAAGCGACGATAACAACACACGCAAAGGCTTATGGGTAGACGATTGTTTGTAAACAAAGACATGCTATAGCAATCTGACGCATGCGCGGGTGACGACTTCCCCGCTGTAGGAATAACCTAACGAGTTATTGAGAACGTTGGTAATTATATACACTCAATACGGACTTCTACACACCATACTGGTACATTCATTTTGAGCCATTACGTTAGACACTCGGTTTATGGTTTGGTGTATTATTTTCTTATATGATAAGGTATCGATTACGACAACAAAGCTTAAGACTCGTCTTCTTTCGAATTCCATCCTACGTTGCTCCATGGAACACGACCTGGATGATATCGGTTCCATTCCAGTGTCATTGTGGGGTGCAATAGCTGGTGGAATAATCACTAATATTATATCACATAAGGTAAGCTAATATAATAAATTACTAGCAAATGATATGGTAATCATTTCAACAGCTACCAATCTGTTGTGAAACAGAAACAAGCACTGTATATCACCGATACATGACGCGAACAATTGTGAAGCCCTTGATTCACGCTTCATTGATACGGTTGCATGGCCAATACGCACACATTGGAATACTCGGGGAAACAATTTCAAAGTTGATAGATGTGGCAGGGAAGCGGAAATGCTGGACCACTGTCGTTATCACTGTGTCGCACGATGTTTCTTGGCAGAGAGTCTGGTTGACTGACACGACTAAATATTTTTAATTTTAATCTCGAATTGTCATTCACAGAATAAATCCAATGACATAGTTGAGTTCTTGCCATATCTTATTAGAATGCTATATTGTGAAGTCGATATACTGGAATATATAGCAAAAGTCTCAATCTCTGAAGCTCTGTACTGTAGAACAAAATTGTTTCTACCATATATAAACGATATACTTGACGTCTTCTTAATCCACGATACATTTTTCGTAATGAGTAAGTAATACCAATATTGTTTTAAATTATTGTCTAATACTGATACTATGAGCGTGATGTGTATTGTATATATTCATGGTATTATCGACGAGTTGGTCATTTTCGTTGCAACTATGCAAATCATTAACCGGAATATGCTGACGTGACCAACAAACGAAGACGTGCAATATGCAAATTATGGTACCAATGTCTCCCTGCTATGCGACTTGGCATTCTCATAAGTCATTTACTCCATAGCCGTTCTCATCAAAACATTCAGTATCTCATTACGTTTTCGTAAAAACAAATGATTTGTTTTAAACAGATATTATTATAGGGAATTATGCTAAAGCCGAAAAGGACATCATAAAACGTTTTGATGATATAATGGAAAGATATGAGGACATGTCAGAGGATGACCAAAGACAATTGTTCCATCTATTGATGACATGAAAGAAATACCCAGAAGTATGCCTTCCATTATTGTCTACACACTTTCATTTACGTATCACATTACACAGTCTTAGTTCTACCGGGATCTGAGTTTAATGTCACTAATTTTATGAGTACTATTTATTGAAGAAATTGCTACCGTACAAAAACACATCATGAACGGAATGGAGAAGCAGTTAACTCACACATATGCCATGCTCACCATAGCAACGCTAGCGAGTTACAAGATAGAAGAGTTCCAAGGATTGACCGAGGTATTAGTGAAACAAAAATATGCACGGCCAGCATATGTGTATTTCTCAAATCTCGCAGTTGTGCAATCGTATTACACGGTTAGTAAAGCCATTTCTGTATGTGGTATCATAACTAAACTCCTTCTCCTTAGTGTTGTGGTGATAGCTTATAAACATGCTAGAATAATGTAAATTTAACTACTTCAACATTCTGTTTAATTTGGACTTCCCTGCTGTCTCCTATATACATGACATGACAAGGTACATGACTGACATGTTCAGACCCTCTCCAATTTGGACGCAAGTTAATGCTGGACGTTTAGTGACCCCCAAAGGAAACTGTCAAATTATACACATTTTTGTTTTCGTACACTATCAGTCACATGATTATGAGGAATTAGATCCGTCCAGCCTGGGCTGGATGATACAATGCTGTTAAAACGACGATTTGCAGTCTGCCTATATTTGTGTTGTAGCTTAGTAACAGTGCTAGTATGGTATAAACAATATAATGACAACTCTAAACACGGGTATGCAGCTAATCATCGTGTTTGCAATGTATAGTACAAACTTACTGCACCATAGCTAAATTGTTGATTTAATAGCTACACTGTAAAAGAATTTATTATTCACTGGGTTTTAATTTTGCTTATTTCGCTGACTGGAAAATGCGCTAAATTAAAACCCAGTGAATCATATGTAAAAGTTAGCATAGAACACATTATCTAAATGATAAAACCGTGAATTTAAAACCAACTGAATATGCCTGAAATGGTAAATCAGCAACATTTAAACCCAGTGAAAATTAGTCATTTTACAGTATACTAGTACTCACCACAATCATAGGAATGAAGTAGGACTCATCCATTTAATATATTGTGTAATGGCTACTTGTCTAATAACGTGTCATTGTACAGGAGACTGCACGGACTGGGATGAAGATATTCGCTGATCAATTAAAAGATCGGCGATTCGCAACGACTCACGGCACCTCCTTGAACTCGATGGAACAGTTTGGTGAACATAAACAGTTTGTGCATATCTTTCGTGAATACAAACCACTTGTTGAATCGGTTAAAGATGAACCAGGATTTGCACAACTCGTGCAAGCTACGTAGATGTGATGGAAGGACGAGGGTGTGTCATTTCATACACTTATACAGAATATTCAATTGTCACGTGTTAGCAAAGCGATATTTCTATAAAAGCAGAGAAGAGAAGAGTTTAAATTGCGGATTTCAAGTGTGCCTGATATATATTGTCCAATTACGTCAGTGATAATGCAGGCTTTTACGAGGTTAAAATTTGTACAAAACGAGTTTACATTTCCAGGATTTCACAGTACAATACGTAACGTTGCTTTCCAGGTCGTAGTACCATGTTGTCTATCGCATATTGTATTTATTGAACGTGTCATGAGTCATGTTTTATAACACTGACAAACTATTTGAAATGTGATGGGCGCACTTGTTCTAATTAATGGATAAAACTTTTCTTGTGGAAGCGGGGTCGCACTAAGCCAACTTGTATGTGAATATAGTTCGATGTCTAAATGTCGTAATTATGTTTTGTATGTTTTTCAGAAGTACTAGTATCTAAATTATGTATATTGTAAAAAAGAGAGCAATCAGCTTACACTTCTATACCGCCGAAGAGGGCGCTACAGTAAAATTGTCCTAATAAATTGTACAAGTTTGGTGCTGTGTTGATACAACTACCGTTGACTATAATCTTTTCTTTCATGAATGTTGTATTTACATTTATTTTTACATTATTCTAGTAACTGTAAAGTGCTAAATGCATATCTGAATGGCCATTTATACAGAGGCGGCGTGAGGAAATCTTTTATGGGGGGGATCTGCTCACCAATCTTGCGCCGAAGGCGCGACTTTACTAGGGGTCCGGTGCATGCGCCCCTTAAGCAGTTTGAAATCTAAACCCTTGAAACGCTATTTCCGGCATTTTGAGGGACAAATTTTGGTGACACAAAATGTTTCAGCTTGATTTTGGAGGGGCGACATTTTTTCGAGCGGGCGACTGCCCCTACCCTGTACCGCCGCCACTTTTATGTACGTACGATATTCCGTTAATTAGTCATGATAACAATGCATTTTCCAACCAATTTTGTCATGCAATACGCCCCTTTAACCCTTCCTCTTTTTTACGGTTTCCAATATAAGCATCAGTTAACATGGCTACGCGAAATAGGCTGGTAAATATAATTTTCTAGATCGAATGAAATAATACTTTTGCTAATATAATGTATTATTATAATTTTAAATCTTGGTCGACACACGTTGACTAAACCTTTATTTACAACTCGCTCCAGAAAATAATTACTCCTGGACGTTAATAAAACAGAGCATCGTGCTAATTGTCTAGTGTTACGATCCCAAGGAGGGGTTCTCTGAATAAAATATGGTACGCAATGCAAGCCGAAGTAACAAACGCGCAAAAGGGGCGTAATTTAGTTATTTGACGCTTATAAGCGTGTACCGTGTTAGGGTAATAAAGTGTAAAAAAGGAATCTCATGAATTCATGTTACCCCAACATGGAAATAGTATGATTTTAGTATGTATATAGGGTATCTATTTTAAGTGTCTGCACTTGAAAAGGGGTATAATTTCACAAAAATAAGTACGTGTTTAGTAGCCTTTTTTTGAAAAACTATACTTTAGCATGAGTACCAGTTTAGACTTGGAGTAACCCCCACCCCCCGGGTTACGATCATACCAGTACGGAGGTAACAACGATAATCTGTTAGGGTATATGTTGACCTCACTACATGATTGAATGTTTTCTCGATGTTAGTTTCTCAACTGCACATGCGCACATGAGGCCGGTGTCGTGTTGCACTAGCCGCTGTACACAATCGCCGGCGTACAATGACCGTGGTTTCATTTTCGCAAACAAATACATGTACTACAATTTGCGTTCCATGTCATAGTTCAACTGAGCTTAGCTACGGAGTACGTACATTGAGCAAGCATTGAAATATGTGACAAGCATTGGGGACTGAACAATGAGTGTCTTACATTCAATTTGGAGCAGGATTAGGAAGACACGGTAGGTATATGCATTAGGGCGCAGCATTTCAACACACGGACAACCATTAACACGCTAAATATCAATGTGTCGCCGTTCACAGCGTGAGCGAAAGTAGGGTTTCTAAGGCGCTGCACCGGCCCGCGAGACAAAGAATGACCTCTTTAAAAGTAAAGCGAGTTTGAATACGTACATAACCTTGCCGACAGCCTAATACGCGGTTGGTTTGTATGTACCAATGTGTGTGTATTGAGGTCACGTGATTCACAATGGTCATTTCCACAGGTAGACAACACCAGGTGTACAATGTAATACAGCAGAGACGAGCCTAATAAAACAGCATGGCTGCCAATGTATCGGGCGATCAGCCTGAGTACGGGGAAAAACAGAGACATATTCTAGAGAGCTTATTCATTGAAGAAGTGGATTTTAAAGTGAGTAAACGTGGTTTTATTTCCTACATTATTCCGACACTGGTTTACTATATAAACTACATATAATATATTGTTACCAAAGAAATTAAAACAAGCAGGTTAACACCCGCGATACGGAGCACGCAAATTGGCGATAGAGGGCGCACACCAACCCGTACCAATACCAATACAATTTTTGAAAGTTTAGAAAAAATCCTAAAAATAACCTTTATACGATAAGTGACATGATGTAGACGTTGGCGGTAATTTTTCCGTTTCTTTTAATTAATTTAACAGGATTTAGATGATTACAGTTTTATTGTCGCCTGTATTGATACATATAAAACAACGACGCTCGATGAATCCTATCCTGTGAACGACGATATGAAATCGACAACACTATTTAATCTCAATAAAATGATGGAGGGGTTGTTGTAAGTAAAAACATCTAATAGCTTTTCATGGCGTTAAATACACAGTGTCTCATGCGATAATTGTTTTGTTGTTGTTGATAATTTGAATATTGATTCCATTACACTAAGAAAAGTCAAGACCTCTACGCAAATGCAAATATCATTAAAGTCGTGCACAATGCTTGAACTGTTTCATGCACAGAACCACTTCGTTCAAATTATACAATTCGAGAATTTCTTAAAAGTTCAATGAAGATTGAAACATTCTGGTTTGACGCGCAATCAAGAAATGAATCGCAAACTAAGGAGTACCAGAAATGCATTATTATTTGACGCAGTTGGGGAATGTTTTGGTGTCATTTGACGCCTAAGTATAGTGTCATGACCTGCCACAAACCAAACCTACGTAAATCGTTAAAATTCTATTTAAAGCGGGAGGTTCATCACCTGCGCACGCGCGGGGATTGAGTCCCAAGCTACGATAACAACACACGCTAAAACGCAAAGGCTCATGGTTAGACCCTTGTTTGTAAACTATGACACGCTATCGCCATCTGACACATGCGCATGTGACGACTTCCCCCGCTTTAAATAAATTGGCCAAGACGTATAGTCACAATCAAATTATTACCACCTGATGATTCACAATAAACAAACAAATTATATAATAATTATATAATAATTCATAGAAACGTGCAAATATGCATTTTATCGTGACGTACTCGAAGGGAGTGAACTAACGCGAGATGATTATTTGATTAAACAGTTCAGAATACTACGGAATCCTGTGTAAGTGTAACTAAATTGTTGCTGCCCCTGTGATACATCAACATATTATTGATTTCCACGTGTACAAATGACTAAAATGTGTATTAAACTTTACTTAGAGAAACAGAATCATCAAAGGGTTCAACTTATTCTGAAGCAATAATGAAATATTATTTTACTCTCTACGAGTCAAGAAAACCAGAACATATTGAATTATGCTACAATATCACATGCGTTGGACAGAAATTTATCGCAATGAAGGTACGTGTAAGTGTGAGCGTTTATGGTAAATTAGAAACGTACAACATTCGAATAATTGCACTAAAGTGTATGCATGACAATTAGATGTTGTTGCACATAGCATGACTTGAAGAACAGTATTATATGTTCTGCTGTAATTAAGGGATATCATTTAAATACCGGAGAATCGACACTGACGCGCAATCATCCGAACTAGCTGATGAGTCATTGGAGCTGCGCCCTCCTTATCAGCGATTTTAAAGGGCGATAGTCGTCGCGCCACGCATGCGCGAGATATGTGTCTCATATAAATAAAGATGGCGACTTTGACTGTTGCGCAGATCAACGAGTACAAAATTGAGACGTTTCCAAGCTTTAATTAGGTAATGTTTAGGCGATTGGAAAGTATCGAAGGAGTCACCGGCGATATTAAGAGGTTAAACCTCATTCTTGTGATTTCCATTTGAAGAGCGCGTTGGATTATGGGAAAATCAATGTTTATTAACACAAATGTAGCACATGCGCAGCGTAACGACCACGTGACCGCGATTTAACATGTTCGTCTTCGAAAAATGTCAGCACGTGTCTTATCAGGTTATTAATATTGAAGTGTTTCTTATTATACATTTATTTGAAGTCGGTGCTCTGGAAATATATGATCAATTCAATTTAATTCAATTCAATTTACAGAACATGACAAGCTATCTCAAGAGTAAGTTTCATCTCGTTGCTGCCGTTATACGAGATTCGGACGCTAACGATTTTGAAAATCCCGTGATGTCAAGTATTGCCAGACAGACAAAGGACCATCTGATTAATATGCTAGCAAAGGCGTCACATGACAGGTTAGGTCAATCAAAAATCGTTTCCGATCTAGTATTGGGATATGTTTATTTAAGTTTTTTTCTGGACACTTCTATGTTGTATTGATAAAATAAGCACCAAATATATTGATGGAATTATAGTTAGAAAACAGTATGAGGAGTAGAAAAAATAAGACAAATATTATTTTTTTAATTCTTTATTTGAAAAAAACAACTGACATTAATTATCACAATTCCATGCGGTTTTGGTAACAGGTGCATCAGATTGAGTACAAGAGCGCCACCTATGTGAAACACAAATATTTTGATACAAAAATCACAATAAACGCCGACCAACGGGACTTTGAATATGACCATGGACTCAAATTACCGGTGCAATTGCTGCTCTTTTAACAGAAGAAATTTACTTTGGAAAAAATACGTCTGCGTGAATTTAGCATGCATGTTTAATATTTATTTTATTGACCGTGTTTCACAACATGCTTACTAAGGAACGGTAACTGCATGTTGACATGTCATTAGATTTGTATGTTACTTACCATGTTTACTGACTTCCATCTCCATAGTAACGGTAAGCTTTCCGATGAGCTGATTGATCTCATTGTAATATGCATGGAAAGAAGAACACGTCACCATTTTCATATCATAGAAGAGATTGGCAACCACAAACACGCGAAGTATCGGCAAAGGGTGCCCTTTGGCGACCCGGGCTGTTATCTAATAGAAATGTTAGGTAGCAACACCAAAGCTATTTCGTGGAAGGTATGTCACAATATAAAGCGAGGTCTCTGTCTAGTTATTTTTCAAGGATATATTGACTCAATATTAAACGTGTATTAACGGAAATGTACATAAAAATACCCAAATTAGCATATGGAATATAACAATATGGAAATTATGCTGTATTTATTATGCAGCACTTATTGATAGAACATAGTGTTGTCTTCATGACAATGCATTCGTAGAAGTGCTTGAACAGATAGCCAGCCAAATTCAATGATTGAAACCTAACGACACATATAAAAGAGTCCATTTACCAAATTACGTCTGATCCCGCAAGATTATTATATTAAGATCAGGTGAAAATCACACTAAACGGATTTTTTGAAAACACATTTCAGAATTGATAGTTTACTATTCATGTATAGATTGCGAACATTATTAAAACCTAATGCCAATCTTTGAATAAGGGCGTAGTTGTAAATTTCTTGTGAAGTCTTGTATATCACATCGTTCATGATAGCAAGCCATGGTATTTCTATCTAACACAAACACGTTTGAATAAGTTTCGAACCACACTATCAGAGTATAGAATGAATTGGCTATTGCATTGCGATCTGTGAAATGTATAACATGTTTTAAAATTATTCCACAGAAACACACGGAGAAAGCAAATGAGGTGATTTTACTCTGGATCGCTCCTATTGAACTGCCGAATTCGGATCTTAGTGGTTTCATATCTATTGCAGAGGAGGTTTTCATGACCTTTATGTTCACATTTAAGTAAGTGTAGATTAAACATGATGTTATAGCCCAGACCAGTTGAACCTTATATATATGATGGTACTGCAGCAAACTAGACACCTTTATTTGAACCGAATGTTGTAACTGAGTGAATATTCGAAAAAAAATGTGTCGTTTTGCGAATGTTTTTATTAGATAGACGTTGGATAGATTAAAATGCAATACACGAACACTGACAAACATTATAACTTACACTCATCGCGACTGAATGAAACAACGGATTCAGATTTATACTACATAACACAGAACAATTTGATGGAATTGTATTTGGATTCCGATTTCCTACTGTATTCAATGACGTCTGCACAATGACTTTTCACCTCGGATATTTAAACAATAATGAAAACGGTATTTTGCAAGTCATTAAAAATAAATAAATAAATAAATAAACAGGTTTACTTACTCATTTTGTTGTATATTTGAAATCAAAAGAAAGTCATTAGCGAAAGAGATTAGTTTTAAACAAATGAGCAACATGAATGCAAATGAGTATATGCATTTTTGTAGTTAGTTGGAGTAATTTCCAGTCTGTCATTTTGTAATCAAGCACCGATTCAATACACTCTTTTCCCAGACAATTTCAATTATCTACTGTAGCATGACATACATTTATGAATTTTACTTAAATAGCAAAGACAATATTGAAAAGAAAATCACTGGAAGTCTGTGCGACCTCTTGGAATATTGCCTGCAGTGTGATAGTGAACTGTATTACAGAATTGGGAAAGAAATCGTAGAGTTTATTAAATTAAAGGTACTACATTATATCTGTATTTGAGTGTTGCCTTTTTGTAGTAAATACAGTTGGGATTGTAGTCATAATATGCAAAGTACGAAATCCTTTAATTTTACACCGGGTTGTATACATAGCATGTGACCCATGCGAATGCTGTGGCAGTTTGACACAAGTTCTCAAAACTATGGCTGTTAAGATATTGTTTGCTTCTGATGAGACATATTATATCGTTTTAGGGTCACAACACGAAGGTAACGGCGATATTAAAGGCTTATGACGAACTGATAAAAAGAGATGACTTTGAATGCCCAAGATCGAATGAGCACAAGTTTACCACTCTGGAAGATACTATGTCGCTCATCACGTGTGATATAGCGTAAGTTTAATTCCCAAAACACCATGAATTATACTTGACATTAATCAGGCATAATCACAAAATACGGTGGAAGCATTTCACAGTGATGCATATTTTGTGATTCCAAGACTGTTTTACTTTTGCTTATGTCCCTAGTGAATCAAACACAACGACCCAGAACAAAGATACGCTTTTGTCGATTCTTCGTTTTTCAATGGAACATGACCTGGAGGAAATAAATGAGATACCAATATCAATATGGGGAGAAATATGCGGATATATAGTGTGTAATATCTTAGACAAGGTAAATGCACTGTATGTAAAAATTGAAATATTAAATATGACCCATCTCGGATGTTTCCCAGTAAACCAATTATCGTCAAAAACAAAATACAACATCTTACCCAAGATAACATTATGTAATACTAATATAACCTCCTGCATCTTTATGGGATTTGTTTTTGAATAATGATAAGCACATTATTATTGTGATGAAAGTGGTGTACATTTTCAGGGGATATCTCTCTGTACTATACGATTGACATATGTAAATATATAATTATTTACTCTTCACGAATGCCACTATACCAATCAGAATTACGATGTTGAACAGGTGGTACAAAAACTTGATTCACCATACAAATGCAGGTTTTACTCATATAAGTTATTTATGTATATTGTCAGAGCAAGACTAAAGATATAAACGAATTTGCACCATACCTCATTAAGTTGCTATGCTGTGATGTGGAGAGACTTGCTGATGGGGCAGAGTCAACTGTTCGGTCAATGTCTAAGCGACCAGAAATATTTCTTCCTTACATTAACGATTTAATCGACATTATTATTGTACAAGAAAGATTCTGCGTAATAAGTGAGTATTGTCATCTCATATAAATAATATAAAGTATATTTTATTATCAATGATTATTAAAAAATATAAAAATACAAAAATTGTAGTGACAATGTTACCATAATTGACAAGTTAAATATCGATGTGAGATCAATATCGATCAATCGATCAACTTAAGCATCATCAACTATTATATTACCAGGTTCCTGGGTAATCGTACTACAACAACACTTGACTGACAGTGTTCTACCATTTCGAGAATGTGGCCGTAAAATAGCTGTATTGAGCCACATGGATAAATTCACCACATAAAATCCACCACAGAATGTGGGTGGAAAAATGCACAAAATAAACGAGAATGTGATTTGGTAAAATATATGTACACAGGCATTTTTACCCTGCCATGATTGTACGTAAAGATCCACATCTGTATTTAGTGTGATTATATATTATATTATATATCCAACATCAGATTTAATACAGCTCAATTTCGTCAAGTGTACGGACGTCATCATGGGTCACTTTAACGAAATCATGGAAAAACGCGAAGACATGTCATCAAATGAAATGTATGGATTATTTGAACTTTTGAATGACGTTTCCAAATATTATCCAGAGGTAAGTTTGTATATGTTATTCCCATTGACTGAGGTTTATTTTCCAACAATGCATCGCGATACTTACCTCTACACATTTAATGTGCACTATTGTAACAAGGTTCAGATGATACATGTTTAGTGACTTAGTGAAGAAGTTCGAATCAAACCATCGGCATTTTCATTCAAAAAGGGAATACATCGAGATGATCTCGGTAACTTGCACTGAGCTTTCCTGTATATAGTTGTCAAATGTATAAATAGATAGTTTCAAGCAAACTTTATTTTGTTCGTTATATCTTTCCATATTTTCTGATCAAATAATGTTAATCAGAGACAAGAAGGATTAGGTAATCGACGTAGTTAATAATTAAGTGTAGTGTAGTGTTTCAATAATATTATTATCTGTTTTATATATTTCTATTCCCAACCAGAGAGTAATGCCGTACAAGGACTATATACTATCTGGTCTTGACCAAGCCATCACAAGCTATTATTCTGTTGCAATTTTGATGACTTTGGCGACATACAAAGCAGAAGAATTCCAAGATTTGGATGAGAGAATAGCAGAACTTGTTAACGAACAATCGGTTTATATATATTTTGTAAATCAATTGATTGTCGTTATTGCGAAATACAGCGAGGTAATAATATTCGTTGTTTTAACTAGATAAAATCGTAGGATTTTAAACATGTAATGGCGATGCCGATTCGTGTCCACCGTTGTGGCATGTAACTTGGGGAAAGCAGGACAAAGAAAACATGAGAAACATAGCAAACAACACTGAACACGTAATTCACACGTATAGAAGAAAAAAACTCTTCTAGTTTCATGGTAAATTATTATGTGCCCTGAATTTTTGTAAGCCCTTTCCAACAAGACAAAACTGCATTCAAATGAT